CTCCTGATTCATTATGTCATGTTAGCATATGGCCACCTCCACGCCCCTCTTCAGGGAGTTGCTGACCACTGTGATCCATCCCATTCTCTTTGAGCCAGATACAAATCCTGGTACCTATGTAACCTCCTGATGAGAACAGGATACCATTTCTTCCTTATTTCTAGTATATCCCAGAGCTCAAAGTTTCTTCTTCTTCCCTGTCTCCTCTGTGTCAAAGTCTTGAACCTTCTGTCCTTGACATGGGTGAGCTGGAAGCCATGAGGTGACAAAGATTAACAAGAGTAGGTTCCATTTTTAGTATCTCTGCCAGGGAGCTGCTTGAAATGACAGGGGAACCTCATTGATATGAACCCTGCTAATTGCAGAGTTGCAGTAGCTCAGATGTGGTGCCCATGATTTGTATTCAGGAATGAAATTAGAAATGATTCTTTCATCTGTAGATTTTCAAAGATTTATAGCTATGCCTTGCTTTTCCAAAATACATTTGCTACTGAAAAGATGAGTGTAAATCAAATTTTTGTAAGTTGAATCATTCAAAATGCACTCAGGGAGCGCTCTATTTGAAGGAATCCTACTGCGAATTTTTCTTTCTGTAAATCAATCTATCTCTTAATTTACTTTTGTGTAAATCTAGATTTTCATAAATTGGGTAAGTTTTAAGCCAGGATCATAGATTCAGAGCTAGAGGGGACTTTAGAAGCCATCTACTCCAAACTCTTCATTTTACAAATGAGAAAACTGAGGCACAGAGAGTCCTGGAGCTAAGTATCAAAAGCAGCATGTGAACCCAGTTCTTGCAGACTCCAAGGGCAGCCCTCTATTTACCACGTCATGCTGCTTTTGGGTCATGATAATAATAGCTTGAAGGTCAGGCAGCTGGTGCAGTGGATAGAGTGCTGGGCCTGGAGTCAGGAAGACTCACTTTCATGGGTTCAAATCCGGCCTCAGATACTTACTAGCTGTGTGACCCTGGACAAGTCACTTAACCTTGTTTGCCTCAGTTTCCTCATCTGTAAAATGAGCTGGAGAAGGAAATAGGAAACCACTCCTGTATCTTTGCCAAGAAAACCCCAAATGGTGTTAAGAAGAGTTGGACATGACTGAAAAATGAACAACAATATTAGTTTGAGAGGTAGTATGGTATAGTGTTTTGAGAATTGGCATTAGAATCCAAAGACTTAGGGTCAGGTCCTTCCTCCTGTGTTAACATACTGTCTCTGGGACCCTGGGGAATTCACTTAACATCTCATGGCCCCAGATAGCTTTGTGATACCGTAAATTGCAGAGCACATGCTCATCTACAGTGGTAGAAAGAATTTCCTCACTGGAAGTTCCATATACCAATGAAATCACAGCTCCAAGTCCAAAAGAAAAAGACTCATTTTTTTTTTAAATAATACTTTACATTTTATAAACTACTTTGCTCCAAACAATCCTGTGGAAGAAGTAGCGTAAATATTATTATCTCCATGTTACAGGTGAGGAAATTGAAGTGGAGAAAGGTAAAGTAATTTGCCCATGTTTTTGGATTGGAGTGGCAGGCCTTCTGACTCCAAGGTCCAGGGTTCTTTCTATGATACAATAAGGCCTAAAAGTCATTGCCTTTTCAAACCAGAGATTCAAAAAGTTAAGGACTCTGTCAACATGCCTTCAGACTCTACACTTTTCGAATCTTTAAGTGCAATATGAATATCAGCTACAAATGTTATTCTTCTAGATCTAAAAATAATATTCATCTATGTTAAAATACTTTTACATTTATATTATATTATATAATGTAGTTCTTTTAAAAAAGATTAATACAACTTCTTAATTTCTAAAAAAAAAACCAAAACCAAAACCTATATTTTAGTTATCACATCTACTAAGATGACTAATAAAAAAATAGAATTAATTAAAGAAATTGTATTTCTTTAAAGATCTCTGGTAAGTCAAATCTTTTTTTTTTTTTGACAAGTCATCCTAGCCTTCCCCTCAATTATTCTGAATTAATAAAATTTCACTGTTTCAGCCAGGTTACTACCCTTTATCAGATAAGAGAGATCTCCAAATGCTGAAACTAGAGTCAAAGCAAGAACATCCTTATTGATTATGGCAGTAGCAGGCCCTGAAGGGGATCTGGTTGATGGCAGCTGGACTCTGATGAGCCTAGATTAGCCAGAAATGCTTCGGGCCTCTATGGGCTCCAGAGTCTTTGCTGATATGTTGCTGATAGGGCTTGAGGTGAAATGGGGATCTAGTTCTTTGAGGAAAAGCAGTTCATTAGTGTGAAAACAGGACTTGTAAAGAAAATCAGAAAATATGGGCTTTGCCATTTGCTGGCTGTGTAACCAAGACAGAAAAATCACCTTCCCTATCTGAGCCTCAGTTATCCTCCCTATAAAATAAGGGGGTTAGATTAGCTGATCTTTAAGCTTCCCTCTAGTTCTAACATTCTGTATTCTATGTTCTACTCTCCCTTCCAGCTCTAATATTCTATGATGTTCTGACTTGAACTTCCTTCTACATCTTCTGAGAACATGAAAGTTGTTCCAGAATGGCCTTCTCAATACCACTGCTATTTCTATCTTTTTCTCCCCTTCTTTGCTTTTTTTTTTTTTGCTTCTTTGCCTCCCTGGGGGGTTTGTGTGGAGGGGGTATTTGGGGTTTTCCAGAAGCAATGAGAGGAGGAATTAATCCATTCCCTCTCCTCCCCACTCTGAAACCCTGAATCCACAAGGAGATATATATACACACATATATATATACATATACACACACACACACACACACACACACACACACACACACACACACACACACACACACACACACACAGAGCGCGAGAGCGCTAGAGTGAGCAGCTTGCCCTGTGGTGGTTTGGTAACCATCCAAGAGGCTAAGGCATCACACACCTAGGTCATTAAGGCAACAGTTTCTGGCACCAGGGTCAAAAAGGTCCATTCAAGTCTTTGGCCACCCTATACTAAGTCTACTTCAGTCCACTCTGGGGCAATTATTTTTTAAAATCTGCTTTAGGCCCTAGGACTAGTCTCTACCTTCAGCAAATCACTGACTCATTTATTCACCAAATATTTAGGGAGAAAGATAAAAACTCCATTAACTGGTACCCTTGCCAGTATTGTCTGAGGTAAAGCCCGAGGTATTGTCATTGGCATTAAGCATGTACCGCATAGCTGAGAGAGGAGAATCCACTGGTTCCCAGATGACATTCATCCGCATCAGAGGAAGCAGTTTTAGCCTGGTTTGATTAGGTAGAGCTCCGCTGTACTGGAAACTGTGTGTTCCTTGATATATGGGGATAGGGACTCAGCAGACTAGGGTAGACACTAGATGCTGAACTAAAGTAACTTCCATCTACAACAGTAGCATCAGAATAATCTCCTAGGAGCCTCTTCTTTCCTTGTGGCTTACAGACCTCCTATGTTTATACACCATATCCCCTATTCTCTTCCTTCCCCTTACTCCCACATATATTTAATGAAGGACATCATTGAATTCTGGACTTGGGGTCAGAGACCTATGTGTAAATTCTAGCTCTGCTCCCATGTGATTGGGCACCATACTTGGGGCAGCTAGGTGGCCCAGTGGATAGAGTGCTGGAAGACTCATCTTCCTGAATTTGAATCTGGCCTCAGGTACTTAGTAGCTATGTGACTCTGGGAAAGTCACTTAACCTTGTTTACTTCAGTTTCCTCATCTGTAAAATAAGCTGGAGAAGGAAATAGGAAACCCCTCCCAATATCTTTGCCAAGAAAACCCCCAGTCATGGACATATGACTGAAAGGAAGTGATTTCTCCCTCTATGTCAGAGGCAGCTGGTGACACCATGGGTAGAGTGCTAGACTTGGAGTCAGGAAGACCTAAGTTCAAATGTGACCTCAGACACTTACTTGTTGTGTGACCCTGAGCAAGTCACTTAACCTGACTGCTTCAGTTTCCCCATCTATGAAAAGGGAATAATAATAGCACTCACCTCTCAGGATTGTTGTGAGGATAAAATGAGATATTTATGAAGTGTGTGATGAGTATTAAATTGCTATAAAAATGTTATTATAATTATGATAATAATTATTACTATTATTATACATTGATGTGGGCAACATGGTAGAGAGGGAGGCACACTGGATCTTGAGTCAAAGGAGTTGCATTTGAATTGTGGTCCAGTCAGTTCCTATCTGTGGAACCCTTAGGCAAGTTATCACTGCCCTGCCCCTCCCCCGCATAAAACAAGGTTAGACAAGATGCTCTTTTAAGTACCTTCCAGCTTTCCAATTCCTTGATTCTGTGACATAAGTGCCAACTGTGTGCAAAGCATAGTTCTGAATACTGGAGGTGGTGGAGGTGGTGGTTAGGAATAATACAGTGATGAATAAGAAAGAACTCCTGTACTCAGTGAGCTTATGGTATGGTAGAGGAAGATAAGGAAAGTGTAAAAATAACTATAATATGAAATAATTCATGATTAGTACATAAAAGTATTACAAGCAAGGTGATATGTGTGAGATCTAAGGATAGAAAGTTCATTTCCGATTAGGGGGACAAGGAAAAGAGAAGATGGCATTTGAGTTGGGTCTTGAAGGATGTCAGCAGGCATTGGCTGGGACTGGAATGGGGAGGATTGTCTATGAAGGAAGGGACCACATTGTAATTATTTTTATATCTGCCTCAACACCTACCACAGTGCTCTGCACATACTAGGCATTGAATGTTTGTTGAATTGAATTCCAGGTGATGGAAGCAGTATGTGCACAGGCACAAAAGTTGAAAGTTTATGGTTTTTCATCAGATAGAAAGGATATCTTTATGAAGGAGGGCTAAAATCAGAGTCAGTCACTGAAATACATGGAAAGGCTTAAGTTGGTCAGATACAGCTAGAGCCCTGGAGCAATTCTAGGGAGGCAGGGGATGCCATGCCACTGAACAGGCTGTCAGGTGGGGAAGGACAGAGACGAGTTTTGGTTTCTTAACAGTGTTTTGTTTTGCTTCCTGCCTTCCAGGTCTCCTGGGAATGGTCGCCCATATGATGTACACTCAAGTTTTCCAAGTCACAGTCAGCCTGGGACCTGAAGACTGGCGACCACACTCCTGGGACTATGGCTGGTCTTTCTGGTATGTGTCCTTTTCAGCTTGTGACAGCAGCTCCCTCTGGCAAATGGCAGAGGGGGTCGTTCTGCTTCTCTCTAAGGACAGTCACAGTGGAAAGAGTAATGGACTTGGCATCAGAAGACATGGGCTTAACTCCTGTCTCTGCTATTTATTAATCAAATGACTGTGGGCAAAGTCACTTCATCTCTTAGATCCTCAAATTTTTTACCTCTCAGCTATTGTTAATGCCATAGCTCTTTGACATCTGGTCAGAAAGCTTTGACATTATCCATCTGGAGTAGTTGGGCATGGTCACAGGCTCACAAAACCAGAAAAAGAGCATTCAATTGCTGTTGACAATGACCTCTCCCCACCTTTTCACCTCCCACTGATGCTAAAGGCCCTGACTGTGGTTCCTCAGTGAGGGAGTCAGTGGATGGAGATTTCCCTGCCGACAAAGACAGCATGGGTAAAGTGCTTTGCAAATCTTAAAAGGCCATATACATGCTAGTTATTATTGTTATTAACAAAGGTTCATGTGCTGCCCTGGGTGGGAAACAGGGAATGTGATGGAACCAATGGGTGAGTGCAACATCCTGTAGGCTTAAAGAGGCCTTGCCTTGTTGGGATGATCTCAGCTCCACGTGCCATTAATTATATGCCTCAAGAAGGACCATGTCCTCCAGCCCCAAAATAAATCTGAGCAAGTCAATTCATCGCCTCAGAAAGTCCAGCTGAGTTTGAATACTGCATAACGAAAGCACCCTGGGTTTGGAATTACAAGACCCAGTCCCAGCTGTCAGGACTCACCCAAGGGAAGGCCAGTGTGTGCCAGTAATTAGTGACCATTACCACCAAGGTTGGGGGAAAAGAAATCCTTACCTGAGGCAGGAAAAGAGAGGTTCCAGTTGGGAGGAGATCTGTGGGGCTAAGATGAGAAGGTGAGCTGATGGCTGATTAGGGAGCTGAAGTCTAAAGAATCTGTCTGAGATTTGGAAGCTGAAATGCAGATAGTGCCAAGCTGCCTACTGAAGCTACTTCCTTGAAGCTTAGACCTTTTTGTTTTGCTTGCATGCACCACCTTTAGCTGTCTCTGCCACCTAGGTCTTCTGCTTTCTCCTGAATTAGCCATTCCGACCAAGCCAATGGAATGTATGCCAGTTCCTCCGTTAACCAGCTGTGTGATTTGGGGTAATTTACTGAGCCTCTCTGGACATCAGTTTCTTATCTGTAAAATAAGAACAATTGGACTTGATTGTGAAAGTTCCTTCCAAAACATCTAGCTTTCTAAGCTGTAGTTTAGGAAAAAAAGCATTGGCTCTGGAGTCAGATGTGTGCAAAATCCCCTGCTGATGTTACAAACTGTGTGACCTTGGACAAGTCACTTAAACTCCTTGGGCCTCAGTTTTCTTATCTTTAAAATGAAAGGGTTGGAGTAGACCGTGCAGCTTCTTGAACTGTGGGTCACGACCCTATATGGGATCACAAAAAATTTGGTAACAGTAAAAGGTATCTGAACGCACAATGACCAAAAATTAATTAAAAATCGTCCTCTGAGGTGTTTCTGGCAGTGTTTGCCCGTGTTGCACCATGCAGCTTCACTGAAGCCTTGGTTCTTAACACAGAGCATGCGCACTTTACACTGTGCACACCCTCAGGCCACACAGCGCCAGCAGACGCTGCCAAGATGGGAAAAGGGGTAGCGAGTGGAAAAAGTTTAAGAAGCCCTGGATTAGATGATGTTTCAATTCCCATCCACCTCTACAACTGTGATCTGTGATCTTTTCACTGGAGTCTTCTCCCGTCCCCACTCAGGGGTAAAGAATGTGAGTCCTGGGATACCCAAAGCCCTTCGACTATGTTGAAGAGCCATTCTGCTGCATTTGAGAATGGGCAGGAGATGGGAATGGCTGGTAGCTGTCCCACTCAAAAAGCCCCAATGCCTTAAGCCCCTTCATTGATATTCTTGAGGAAAGCTTTTTGGTGTCTGGGGGAGAGAATGTTTCCTCCAGAGAGGGCAGAGATGAAAAGATTCCTGCCCATTCCTCCTGCCTCTCCTGCTGTGGGTCACCAACTTCTCTTTTGACTTATTCATAGTATAGACTTGAGTGAGTGGAGATGTGTTAGTACTGATATATTTCTCCCTGTCACTGAGGCCCAGAGAAGATAGATTTGGACCATTTTTCATCCCTCCAGAAAGCTCACATTTGGGGATTCTTCCAGAGCTCTGCTATGTCATCTCTCTTGTTTAATATGTGTGGGGCCATTTGTCAAGATTCAGTGCTTTAGCTATACAAGGTCCCTTGAGAAGGGATTGGCTGAAAGTAAGACTAAGAGAACTGTAAACATTCGGCTAAGGGACTGAAAGAAAACACTTCCGGGAGGCAGAGGGTACTATGGAATGAAGGCTGGGCCTTGAAAGACCTCAGTTTTGGTTTTGACCCAACCACTAACCAGCTTGGCTTTGTACATTGAATAAATCACTCCACTCCCCTGAAGCTCAGATTTCTCATTTCAAGCTCACATTTCTGTAACCCTTCCAGCTCTGTGGTTTCACAACTACCCTGTGAGGTAGATAATGCCAATATTATTACTATCTCCGTGTGTGATTTGGGGTAATTTACTGAGCCTCTCTGGACATCAGTTTCTTATCTGTAAAATAAGAACAATTGGACTTGATTGCGAAAGTTCCTTCCAAAACATCTCAGTCAGCAAACTGAGGCGCAGCATGGTTATGACATGCTCCAAAGCCACATAGCAAGTATGTAGCAGAACCTGGATTTGAACCCAGGTTTTCTGACTCTTAATGAGGCCAGGGCTCTTTCTGTTATAGTGGTCTGGCTCTGGAAAATGAAGTCAGTAAGCCTGGACAATGGATTAGATGATCCCTAAGTGTCCTTTTAATGGTAACATTCTGAAAAGCTGCAATTCTAATGAAAACGTTGATGTTCAAATTTCATGAAGGAAGTGAAACATTCTGTAGGAGTGCGGGGCTAATGAGGATGCAAACATTGGCTTCCCTAGGCTCAGACTGCAACCTTGCAGACTGCCAACTTGCTTGTGAATGCATGTGTTTAGTCACAAGGATTGTATGGATGGCTCATTGCAAGCCTATCCCCAATAACAGAAAAATTCAACTCAATGCAGGATCCCTGCTGACCATGTAGAAGTGCAGCTTTGTGTATGAGGGGTACCAAATTAGCCTCTCCTAGTAAGAAAAACATTCAAATTCTTAAAGTCTGGTTTCAGCCCCCTCTTATCATTTCTTTATGTGTCTGCCCATCTTCTCATCCTAAGACTCTTGGATTTGTGCTTATGAGGTGCTTCCAGCATGGGCTCCCATCTGGCCCTAACTGTGCTGAACTAGGGAAGCACTGGTTAAATCCCTTCCGTGTTCTGTGACTTCTAATCAGTTCATTCTTCGGAACTAGGTGTATTGTACCTTCCATCTGTCCCCGGTTCTTGGTTACTTCCCAGTGACTGCTGATTTCCTCCAGTTTGCCCCTGGTTGGCTCCTTCTGTGCTGGGGACTCGGCCCCATTTGCTATATGATTATAGTTTTTAGAGTTAGAGGAGGCATTGGAAATAACCGATTGTAATCTTACAGATGAGGAAATTGAGGCTTAGACAGATAAAATGATTTGTCTTAGGTCACATAACTAGAAACCAAGATTCAAACCTAGGTCTTCTAATTACATCCATAAACATTTTATTAAGCCCTACTATGTGCCAGGTACTGTGCTAAGTACCAGGAATACAAAAAGAGGCCTAAGATAGTGCCTGCCCTCGAGGAACTTACAGTCTAATCAGCTGACTAGCACTAGCCTTATCCTTCCAAGAATTTACTTTTTATTGAGGTCACTCCATAGTGAACACCTCTGTCCACCCCAGCAGATGTATGTGATGGTGGTGAATCGAGTGGTATATGATAATACTGAGAGCCACTGTAGTCTAATGGCAAGAATATTGGAGTAGAAGTCAGAAGGCCTGGGTTTAAGGCCTAGCTCTGAGAATGATTGGCAGCATGATGGTTAAATTATTTAGCCTTTCTGATTCTGTAAAATGGAGATAATATTGCTTATTATGCCTATTTCGTAGAATTGTTGTAAGGAAAATGTTTTCATAAACTGAAAACCTCTCCAATAAATGTCAGCTATAATTTGTGCTATGCCATTTTACATTTTAAAACTGCTTGGCACAGTAGATAGTGGCTCCCTCTCCATTGCCTACACTCTTTTCAGATTCCAACTGTGTTAAACCCTATCTCTTCCTACCTCTATCCTCTCTGTGCCCTCTAGTTACCCAGGAGAAGCAGCAGATTAGTTACCTCCCTTGGGGCTACGAGCTGCCCCAGCACCATGCTTCCCCACATGGCTTAGCATCCAAATGTGTTTACCCCATTAGCTCACTTACAGAATTGAAGCAAGAGAAGCTTTTCAAGGCAATCCATTAATGTGTTCTCCTATAAAAATCCAAGGCCTATTAAAGCAGTTTGAAATAGATCAGTTTGTAGTTATTGTCCTAGAACAGGACTATAGAAATAGAGGGATGCATTTTATCTAATTCATCTCCCTTGAGGCAGGCTGGTGTTGTCCTCCTTTTGCATAAAAACAAAACCACAGCAGAGATACGTGACTCACAGCAAGCTAATCTGGACCTCCCAGCTGGAACAAGAGCTCCCGGTGGCTTGACCCTGAACATCTGCACAGTTTGTGATCTCTAACATCCTTTTGGTATGATACTCTATTCAGGCTATCTAGCTTTGGTGAGTATGACTCAACTATGCTGCAGGAGAGATTGTGAGTTCAGGAGGAAAGCAAGCCTTGACACATTGAGTCTTCATTGGTTCCAAACTCACCAAGCCTAGAAAGTGGGGGCTGAGAGGAAAGTAGAAGGCCTGGGGCCAACTTCTACAGCCATTTGGTCACGATTTTCTTTTGTCAATCTCAAATGTAAATATATCCTCTCTCTGAGTTCCTGGGGGAACAGAGAAATTAAGTCCTGCTAATCTGGATTTGTCTGTGGGTATTCAGTCTTGGACATCTAGGTGGCACAGGGGATAGAGTGCTAGGCATGGAGTTAGGGATATTCATCATGAGTTCAAATCTGACCTCAGATACTTACTAGCTGTATGACCCTAGGCAAGTCACTTAACCCTGTTTGCCTCAGTGTCCTCATCTCTAAAATGAGCTGGAGAAGAAAATGGCAAAGCACTCCAGTATCTTTACCAAGAAACCCTCAAATGGGGTCACAAAGAGTAGGACATGACTAAAAAAGCACTGAACTGATCCAATCTTGAAACTTTTCAAAGTTAATTTCTAAACCAATTGCCATGCCCACACCTCCCACCCTCCTTTCTGTCTGCCTCCCACCCCCTATGGCTCATCAGGATGGAATATAGAGACATCAACCAGCTCAAATCATCATACACTCCCCCCTCCACCCCCACCATTAGCAATCTGTACTTTCAACACTATCCCTCTCTCCCCTAATAGTCCCCAACTTCAAGGATACCACTGCCTTTTCCTTCAACTATCATTCCTGAGGAGTAGAGGCAGAAGGAGCCTCAAAGCTACCCTTTTAGTCAAGAACCTAGTTAGCCTAGTAGATGCCATCATCTCATCAGTGGATGCCATCGCTGGCCATCAGGTTAGCTCAGGCCAGTATCTTTTCTACTACCCACAGACAGACAAAGACTAGCAGGTTTTATGCTGAGGGGTCCATGCTCTATAAGGAACTCATAAACAAAATAGATTCTTAAGCAGGACAGTAGGAGAGGGGATCCTACCTCCTACAGGAAGGGAGGTGCTTGGATAACATCTGTCTCTCTTGGGCTTAGAACAGAACACTAGGGAATAGCTGGTGCTCCATTCTTGACTAAGTAGTTATTCTTTTTCTGTCACACATGCACCCCGTTACATTTTCCTAGTCTTTCTATGGTTGGCTGAATACAAGTTGTGTAGTGGGTATGACTTTTGTCAAATGCACATGGGTCAGTTGGTTTCCCATCAAATTTCTGAGTCCTAGAATCTAAAGATTTTTTTGTTGTTGTTGTCAGCTGTGATTCATGTGTTAACACCAAAAGTACAGTACAGTGTAGATTAGACCTGGCTCTGGGCCTCAGTTTCTTCATCTGTACAACAGAAGTTGGACTAGGTGACCTCTAATGGCCCTTCAACTTCCAACAATAATATATGAACCTATGAATTTCTGGGAAAGAAAGGTGAGATTCGGATAAAGAGAAATCGGTAACAAAGCCCAGGAGTGGCTCTCTCCAGCCATCATCCAGATAGTTCCGCTTTCCTCCAGCCCTAGATGTTTTAATCCTCTCTTTTACTGTTGTCTTTCTTTATTTTATTTTATTTTCCTCTGTCTTTCTTTCTGCAGCCTGGCCTGGGGTTCTTTCACATGCTGCATGGCAGCCTCAGTCACCACACTGAACTCTTACACCAAGACTGTCATCGAGTTCCGGCATAAACGTAAAGTGTTTGAGCAGGGATTCCGGGAGGAGCCAACCTTCATTGACCCAGAGGCCATCAAGTACTTCCGGGAAAGGTCAGTGAGGGTCAGATGTGCTGTATCAATGCCTGGTCAGGGGAAGAAGGTCACAGATTTCACTGTTGGTTCTGAGAATTCCAGGAAATCCACCCACTCAAAGATTTTGGATACTCTCAGAAAGATAGGCCAGAAGAGGTCAGGCTGACTTATATTTCTTGACACTATTAAGTTAATATTTTTGCCTGGTCATCTCTTTGTTAAAACCAATTGGAGAACAAAGCCCCCTCCTTTGGCAGAGGGGTGGTTGTTGTTGTTGTTTGTCATTCATTCTCAAAGAGGACCATGACATCAGAGAAGTGATGCCATGATATTCAAGTGAATTGGATTTGAGTTGGGGAGGACCATGGAAAGTCATCAGCCTCACTTTCTCCTCCAGAGCCATCTGGGTCCAGTGGAAAGATCAGGATGACTAGAAATGGCCCTGGATGCAGACATTGGCCTTTTTAAGCTAAAGTCTTTAACAGGTCTCTGTTAGATTGAGGCAATGCCCAATCAGTGATTAAGGCTAGATAAGAAATGAAGCAGATAATAGCCTCTTTGCCTAGTCTAAAAAAAAAAAAAGCAATCTGGGAGGGAAAGACCCTCAGAGTTTCTGGCCAAAACAGAAACAATTGCTATTTACGTTCACTCTGGGCCAATCAAGGCCCAAACAATGACCGGGGGGGGGGGGGGGGGGGGGGGGGGGGTGGGTTGGCGGGGGGGGGGGTTGGGCCTGGGACCTATTGTTGGCCAATCAATGAGAGCCGGAGTGATTTGGGTTTAAGGCCTGGTCCTTAAGAAATAAATCTAGCTACTGAACCCCAAGATATTTTGTGAGGTTTCTGTAATCAAAATTTACATTCCTTTGGGCAGAGCACCCGCAGGAAGGGACTGAGCTGATGAATCTAAGATGGAAATGGTTGCCAAAAGAATACTGGATTTGGAATCTTGTGGCCTGTGGTATTCGAGTCCTAGTCCTGACACTAATACTATGTTGTTGGCCGTGTTATTTGTTCTCTTTGATCTTCAGTCTCCTCATCTATAAAATGGGGACAACAACTTCATAAGGTTGTTGTGAGGAAATTGCTTTGTAAACCATAAAATGCTACATAAACGTGAGTCAGTGTTATTATGATTATTATTTGTTGATCACAATCAGACCAGGATCTTTGGGACAGCATCACTATTCAAAAGTCATTTGATTATGGCATGTCCACTTGGAACAATTCTTGCTTTTTGGACAAAAATTTAGATAACATAGCTCTTGAATTCATGAAAAATAGAATAGAGGGAAATGGGAGATGGTTTTAAATGTATTGATCAATCTGTACTCATGTCTTTCCCATGAAAGGCCACTGGGCTCTTGCACCCACAGGGTAGCCAGCAGGTAGCACAGTGTCCCCTCTTCCCTCCCCTGTTGTCAGAGGCAACAGGGTGGTATGGCTTCAATAAAGCTAATTCAATCCTGTCTTGCACTCATAGATGTCAAAAGCACAAAGTGAGGGAGGTTATAGCCCTGCTGTTCTCTACCCCTTCAGGCAACATCTGGAGGAGCTTTCTTTGTGTACTCAGAGGGCTGTCCTGTGGAAGACAATATAGATTTGTTTTGTAGCTTCAGAGGGCAGAAGCAGAACTGATAGGTGGAAGTTGTAGAGAGTCTATTTTCAGCTCAGTATAAAAACTTCCTAACAATGAGAACTGTCCAACAGTAGGCTGAACTATTTGAATGGGTAGAGAGTTCTCTTAAATTGGAAATGTCTGAGCAAAAGCTGAATGACCATCATTAGGGATGCCATGGAGGGATTGCTGCAGGGAGTGAGAAATCGTGCTAAGGGACCTCTAAAATCTCTTCCAACTCTAAGATTTTATGATCGTCCATTGGTATCCACTAGAATGAAATCCCTCCATCTTTATCCCTTCCCCCAAACCTTGCCATGGGGGCCTGCTTGTGGGTGACTTCAGATGACAATGATATAAGATACAAGATGACTCCCCTGCTTCTTTGGCCAACTCCCTTTACATTTTCTAGCTTCTAGATGGGGGTGGGGGTAGGTCTTAACCTTTTGTGTGTTCCTGGACCCCTTTGGCAATCTGGTGAATCCTATAGACTCCTTCTCAGAATAATGTTTTTAAAAGTATAAAATAAAATACATAGGATTACAAAGGAAATCAATTCCATTGAAACAAGGATGTAATTTTTCCCCCATCTAAGTTTATGGACTCTCTGAAATCTCTCCATGGACCCCAGGTTAAGAATCCTGTTCTAGCAGAGCAGAGTAGCCACTGCATTTTTCAGATGTTTTCATCTTGTCCTGCTCATTTTTTGGAGTGAGATTCTATAACAACCTGGAGAACTAAGGGAGGGACCATTTAGTGAATAGACCTACAATTTAGCAAGGGTGGGGCCCATCCAGGATTCTTCAGAGCCTGGGCACCCAGTGGAAGTGGGGCAGAGCGGCCTCTGGAATTAAAAACAAAACAAAACAAAAAACAAAAACAAAACAAAATTAAGCTTCTGCAAAGTATTGGGACAAAGTGTCAACACCACAGTGCTCTCTGCATTTTCCCCTTATTGCTGGTACATGCAGGTCCTGAAGACTCATGACCACAGGGAGATCAAGAAAACATAGGATCTAGAACTGGGAGGGACCTTAGAGCCCCTCTGGTTCTACTTCGTTTTACAAGTAGAGAAACTGAAGGCCAAAGAGTTGAAATGACTTGCTTACAGTCATACGGTAACAAGTAGCAAAACCAGGATTTGAACCCAGGTTCTCTGCCTCTCCGTGACATTCTGCTGTCTCATGACGGACATCTCCCCCTGCTCAGACTGTTCCTGACCTGCAGGGTGGTCCTGACTAGGAATGGGTAGGACCTAGAATACAAATGGAAGCACAGAGATATGCAGAGAATTTGAAAGTCTCCAAGCAGCAGGGAATCGGAGAAGAGCCAGGCAGGAGGGTGGCTGTTGGTCAGTGAGCTTCCTGAAGTAGCATCAGGCAGAGATTCCAGTAGATGGGTGGATGTACAGTAAGCTGAGGGACAGGCATCCAGGCAGGAAGCAGCAGAGAGTCTGCATAGCAAGCCATAGGGACCCAAGCCTTGAGCCTGGGCACCATCACTGGGCATGGAGCCAACCCATGGAGGGGGGAAAGAGCAGCTGAGGGAGGAAGCTTTTCCTCATGGGAACTGCTGCATTAGGCAGGAGTGGACGAGACAAGGCCTCGGTTATCAGAACCACTGTACAAGGACTGGGCTATTCCCAGAGCCATGAAAAAAGGGCCCTTTGTCCAGAAGCAAAACCAAGCTCAAAGTGAGGATTAGTTGTAACAACAGAAAGAGGACCTATTTCTCAAGCCCTTTAAAGGTGACAAAACACTTTCCTTATAACAGTCCTGTGGGGTAGGTAGAACAAGTATTATTACACCTACCTTATAGAGGCAGAAGTTGAAATCTAGAGAGGAGTGCCTTGCCCAGAAGAAATCCATGTCTGAGCTGGAATTTCAATCCAGATCTCTCCTGACTCCAGTGGACTTTTCACTCTACCATTCTATGTCTCATTAAGTTGGACTTCATCTTGTATAGTGATGTCATTTAAAGGTTCAGGGATCCTGGGATCCCAAAATCACAACACGTGGGTCCTTTGCGAAAGAATTCAACCCAGGCCTTCTTTCAGCCAAAGACAAGGTTTATTAGAACATTTGTCCTATTGGGCAGACTCTTAAGGAATCTGAATGTGGGTAAGCAGTGGCTAGATTTTAAGAATCTAAGCAGTGGCTAGATTTTAGGAATCTGAGCATCTTAATGGATACGAGATGGACCTCATATACAGAAAGACTGTGGGAGGGATCTAGAAGTGGCCAAGTAGTCCATGAGGTAATAGCAAGACAATGGAGGGGAGATTAGGCCAGTTGATGGGATTATAGCCTCAGGTGAATGCCAGAGATTTGGCCATGTGGGAAAGTCCAGGGTTTTTCCTTTCTGGGGCCCAGATCCCAACCCCATCAATAGGGCCCTAGACTTGGAATTTCAGACACCCATCAGTTGTCTTCTCACTAACATGGCTAGCTCTGTGTTTAAAGAAATCATAGTATGTGGAATATTCTAGCTTTCTAACTATCCTGGCTTTTGGGGCAGCTGTGAAATGCACATCTAATCCCAGGGATAGACCCTGGACAAGTCACTTAACCTCTCTGAGACTCAGTTTCCTCCTCTTTAAAATGAGGTGGTCTCTAAGGACCTGTCCAGATCTAAGCTTTATGAACCTATGTTCCTCTGACTCCTTATATTCCCCCTGCCCAAGGCTAGGCCTGATTCCAGAGCCCAGGGAGAGGCTGAGCCTAGACTGCAGAAGGGAGTTAAGTGGTCCAGGTCTTAAAGGTTGAGGGATGTAAAGGCAAGTCACTGGGTGGATCATTATACTATGACTGTCTGTTCTTGGGTCTCTACTCTGAAGAGGCAGGCATCAGCAGTCTTAGAACAAGGTGGAGGAATGAGGGAGGGTATAGGCAGGATGAGAATATAGGCCATTTGGGATAACTAACTATTCATTGAGCCCTGTAGCTCTCACTCTTGCTTGCCTCCCAACTGGGTCACCAATTGCAGTTATCCCTCACTAACATGACTAGCTCTCTGTTTAAAGAGATCATAGTCTTTGGAATATTCCAGCTGCCTGATTTTCCAGCTGTCTGGTTCTCAGGGCAGCAGTGAAACACACAGTCAATCCCAGGGATTCCCTGGAGGATTTATTTAGATTCTGAAAGCTATCAGGGAATGTCCGCTGAGCCCACCCCAAAGCCAGAGATAAACTCTGCCAGAGAGAGCAGTGAGGAGAAGATCTTAGAATTTCAGAGCCTGAGGGGACCTTAGAGATAATCTAGTCCAATCTTCCCTCATTTTACACAGGAGGGAGCTGAGACCAGAAAAGTCAGGTCTCTTGCCCAAGGTTGTCAAGCTAGTCATTGACAGAGGAGCATAATCTGAAACTGGTGCTAATGTTCATTGCCAAGTGTTACAATCTG